TTTTTGGTTGATATTTAAAATGTATTATATATACCATAATATAGCAGAAAACCTCGTATTAAAAATTATACAAATAATATTTTTAATGTATTAATAATAATACATTAAAAATAATTATCGACCTCGGCGACCACAAGACGCCTGGGACCAGATTCACGAAAACACTTACGCAAACACTTACGAACCTGTACATCTTTTCTCAATCTTTGGAGGCTTTGTTTACAATTATTAAACAGTTAATGAGCTCCGAAGCACCAGGAGGCTGTTTATAACAATAACAACAGTTGAATGGGAAGTTTTCATGCTTGTAAACTGTTTAATAAATGTAACCAAAGCCGTCAAAGATTGAGGAAAGATGTACACGTTCGTAAGTGCTTGCGTGAATCTGGCCCCTGGCCGCGTTCGGCTACGTGCATCCGGCTACCCGTATAAGAACGACAATATGGCCAGGAACGCGCCAGGCCTGGCCAGTATACCCTGTATAATATACATCAATATTTAACACATTGATGGAATATATTTGCACTCGCCTCTAATGTTGATATGTTCATATGCAACATTATTTAAATTATAGGAATGATTAATGATTTAAAGAGTGAAATAAATGTTAATATTGTATTAATAAAACGCCGAGAGAGAGAAATATGACAGCAGTGGATGGCAACACTGAGGGAGCAGCTGTCACCCCGCTGGGCGACCTTCTGCTGCCAATTCTGGTTATATATCAATCTCTTCTTTTATCGATTTATCTATCGATTATTTTATCTCTACGTATTTATGTTCACTGTTTTTATCGTTCATTTCTTCTCTCTCTCTCTCTCTCTCTCTCTCTCTCTCTCTCTCTCTCTCTCTCTCTCTCTCTCTCTCTCTCTCTCTCTCTCTCTCTCTCTCTGTCTCTCTCGCTCTCTCTCTTCACTCTCTCCCTCCTTCACTTTCTCTCTCTCTCTCTCTCTCTCTCTCTCTCTCTCTCTCTCTCTCTCTCTCTCTCTCTCTCTCTCTCTCTGTCTCTCTCTCTCTCTCTCCTTCACTCTCTCTCTCCTTCACTCTCTCTCTCTCTCTCTCTCTCTCTCTCTCTCTCTCTCTCTCTCTCTCTCTCTCTCTCTCTCTCACTCTCTCTCTCTCTCCTTCACTATCTGTCTCTCCCTCACCGCTATCACCTCCCTAAAACGCACATGCTGAACGTTATACAACAACCTGCTAAACACATAAAAACCCACATGAACGTTATTGATGCATAAGTAAAGACAGAGGCAGTGAAATAGGATCGAACCGTCTTCCTTGGGTAATCCAGAGATGAGATTACCGATTCGATCCCACTGAATGACCTAAATCATTTCTATACAAAAAATTAGGCTTGAATCGTAGCTATTCACAGTACGTTTCCCCTTATCTAATTCACTTCCCCGTATATATTAAATCAGATACTGTATAAAGAAATAATATATATTAAAAACAAATCATTGTTCCTATTAATTTACATTGCCCAATAACGAAAGGAACCGTAGTATTATTATCATCAATAACTGTATATATTTTATATTCAGTATGATGAAAAACGCAAAAAAAAAAAAATTATATATATATATATATATATATATATATATATATATATATATATATATATATATATATATATATTTATTGTCGCTATACGATATAATTCCGTTTGAATAACACCCATTAATTTTGTTATTAATTAATAATAAAACAAATTAATAAGAACATTAATAACAACAACATTTTGTTGTCATATTCAAGTATTTTACATTTATAGTCAACATGACTAAACGTTCTCGAGGTATATAAATATAATTACAATATTATAATCATATATATATTATATATATATTGGTGTATACTGGCAGCAGGTTTTCTTTCAAACATGTTTCATTGAATATGACCGCATATTCTGTATTTATTATTTTCTGGTTTAGGGCTTCTATCCCTCTAACTATTTTCTTAGCATCAGGGCTTAATTGAAATAGGAGTTCTCCAAAACTCATTTTCGTACTTTTAAGGTGAAGAAAAGAAGTGATTTACTATAGAGTGTATTACACTTATTTGTATAATTTGCACGACGTTTCGAACCTCCATGGTTCATTCTCAAGTGAACAGATCTTACAATACTAGTTGATTTTATACCCGCATTAGGTCAGGTGATAATACAATGAAGGTGAAAACATGGGGGGATACATAAGGGATAAACATAGGGGCTGCAGAAGGCTTATTGGCCCATACGAGGCATCTCCTATCCAAACACAAAGATTAATCCAGTGTAATTGGCCTGTTATGTTGGACATTGTCTTCTGTGTTGGCATCGATATGTTCTTGTCTTGTCCTTACTCTCATGGTGGGTAGAGTAAATAGTTCCGTGATTTGGGTGTTCATGGTAGGTCGCTCTATTCTTATGTGAATTGCCTCAAGAATTTGTAATCTTCTTGAATCTTGGGTTTTGTCTATTATTATATATATATATATATATATATATATATATATATATATATATATATATATATATATATATATATATATATATATATATATATATACTCGTAGAGGAAATATTCTAAGAGGACTTATGGTGTCCAAATGTCAAAACAGTGCATAAGGGGGCTTTAAAATGGTGGGAGCTGGGACACTATCGCCTTTAACTATGATTATGACAATGAGTTCATTATCATTCTGGGGGCTCCCCTGGCACTGATAGTGGGTTAAAGAGGCGCAGTGCCACCGTACTAGACTGCATGGTACAATCGGGATTGTAAGTGTGGTGGAGGGAGGGGGCGTGATGCGGTGAGGTCTGGTTTAAGTACGGTAGGGGATAGGCAGGTATAAAACAGTGCAATTAAACCAATATGTCCCCAAGCAGTTGTGTCGTTAACCTGAAAAAATAGCCCGCATGTACATATGGTGTATTTACTATTTGTATCTGCAGAATCGAGCTATTAGCTCTTGGGCCCCGCCTTTTTCCTCTATTATGTCTACTACATATATTTCTCTCTAACACACACACACATATCCCCAGGCAGCAGCCCGTAGCTGATGTCTAACTCCCAGGTACTTATATACTTTTTAGGTGAACAGGTGTATCAAGGTGAAAGAAACTATGCCCATTTGTTTCTGCCTTTTGCCCGAGGATCGAACCCGGTCCCTTAGGATTGCTACCCCAGAGCGCTGTCCACTCACACAATTCAGTGTGTGTGTGCGTGTGTGTATGCGTGTGTGTATGTGTGTGTGTGTGTGTGTGTGTGTGTGTGTGTGTGTGTGTGTGTGTGTGTGTGTGTGTGTGTGTGTGTGTGTGTGTGTGTGTGTGTGAGAAATCAATTGATGTTATCACAGAGTGCTGTCATGGACACTATTATGGTGGTGTGGTGGTGGCCATGGTGGTGTAGTGGTGGCCATGGTGGTGTGGTGGTGGCCATGGTGGTGTGGTGGTGCCCATGGTGGTGTGGTTGTGGCCCATGGTGGCCATGGTGGTGGCCATGGTGGTGTGGTTGTGGCCATGGTGGTGTGGTTGTGGCCATGGTGGTGTGGTGGTGGCCATGGTGGTGTGGTGGTGGCCCATGGTGGTGTGGTGGTGGCCATGGTGGTGTGGTGGTGGCCATGGTGGTGTGGTGGTGGCCATGGTGGTGTGGTTGTGGCCATGGTGGTGTGGTTGTGGCCATGGTGGTGTGGTGGTGGCCATGGTGGTGTGGTTGTGGCCATGGTGGTGTGGTTGTGGCCATGGTGGTGTGGTTGTGGCCATGGTGGTGTGATTGTGGCCATGGTGGTGTGGTTGTGGCCCATGGTGGTGTGGTGGTGGCCCATGGTGGTGTGGTGGTGGCCATGGTGGTGTGGTTGTGGCCATGGTGGTGTGGTGGTGGCCCATGGTGGTGTGGTGGTGGCCATGGTGGTGTGGTTGTGGCCATGGTGGTGTAGTGGTGGCCATGGTGGTGTGGTAGTGGCCATGGTGGTGTGGTGGTGGCCATGGTGGTGTGGTTGTGGCCATGGTGGTGTAGTGGTGGCCCATGGTAGTGTATTTGTTGTGGGTGTGGTCGGGTCTTGGGTGGGGTAGCTGAGCAGGGGGTGTAGGGGAGGGCTGGGGGGGTGGAGTGGGGTATCCCTAGGGGTGAATGGGGATGGGGAGGGAGGGGTGAGGGAGGAATGGGTAGGGTGGGGGAGAAGTGAGGGAGGGAGGAAGGGAGGGAGGGAGCAACCGCGTTCTGGCGTACACCTTTATTTCGTGTTACCTTCCGTCCCTCCCTCCCTCCCCCCCCCCTCCCTCCTCCAAACCCTAATATCCCCCCACCACTGCACCTCTCCTCCCTTCCTTACCCCTCTCCCTCCCTCATTTCCTCCCTCATTTCCTCTCTTCCAATCTTCATTACTCACAATTTCTTAAAAAAAAGCTAGTCTTACAGAGAACAAACACACACACTCACAATATACCCACAACTACACAACAATAACATTAGCATCAACACAACAGTTCTGTTGAACACGACACCTTAATATTATTCTGTGCATCAATGAGGGCGATCCATCTGTCTGTGTCTATCGGTATTAAATCTTTTAATTCCTGGCATTAGAGTCGAGGGGGCTATTTTGGGGTTTAATCCGGCCCTATTAACTAGTCATTATTATAGTAATTAATATGTTAATTTGGGGTGGTGGTGTATATTGATCGGTCGATCTCCCTCTCTGTCTGTTTCACTCCCCCCCCCCCTCTCTCTCTCTCTCTCTCTCTCTCTCTCTCTCTCTCTCTCTCTAATTGGGCCTCTCTCTCTATATATGTCTGTCTCTCTCTCTTCCCTCTTTCTGTTGTCTCTTTATGTCTCTCTTCATTTTCCTACTCCTTATTCTTCTATTTTCCATGCTCTTCTTTCTTGTGAGTATTATATAATATTGACCTTTATATCCAGGGTTAAAATTACCCCCCCCCCTCTCTCTCCCCCCCACTCCTACTCCCCCTCCTCCTTCTCCATACCTCTCCCTCCTTACATGACACTAATGTAGTCGGGTCAGTCAGTAAGGTCCGGTGCAGTAGAGTCCGGTGCAGTAGAGTCCGGTGCAGTAGAGTCCGGTGCAGTAGGGTCCGGTGCAGTAGGGCCAGGTGTAGTAGGGTCCTGTGCAGTAGAGTCCGGTGCAGTAGGGTCCGGTGCAGTAGGGTCTGGTGCAGTAGAGTCCGGTGCAGTAGGGCCAGGTGTAGTAGGGTCCTGTGCAGTAGAGTCCGGTGCAGTAGGGTCCGGTGCAGTAGGGTCCGGTGCAGAAGAGTCCGGTGCAGTAGGGTCCGGTGCAGTAGGGTCCGGTGCAGTAGAGTCCGTTGCAGTAGGGCCAGGTGTAGTAGGGTCCTGTGCAGTAGAGTCCGGTGCAGTAGGGTCCGGTGCAGTAGAGTCCGGTGCAGTAGGGTCCGGTGCAGTAGGGTCCGGTGCAGTAGAGTCCGGTGCAGTACTCTCCG